CCAAGGCGATGAAAATCAATTTGCAATGCACCATGCCAGCAAAAAAGCCGAGAGCATAGGGAAAAATATTCAGAGACACATGGCGAGGCGTACAGGCTTTGCATCTGAATCTGAATGCGAATTTGCCGCTGCCTCTGAATCTGAATCGGATAGAATCAAGAAGCAGGAATCAGCGAGCAGAAGGAATGCCAAGCAATGCAAATAGCTCTAAATGCATTTGGCGATGCTGTGATTTGATTTCGATATTCCCCCGCTCGCGCTGTGTGTGTTGACTTTCAATTTCTGTTCGCGAGCGTAAGTTTTTCACCCGTTTTCACCGAGCTTTTCCCCGCCTTTCTGATTATAATTCCAATGCAGCGACTTCTGGCTTTGGGAAAAATGTCATTTGAAAGTTGGTGTACTCGAGACTGCAGGCTGCCAGCTTCCGCTTCCGTTTAATCATTTTCCGCACTGTTGTTATGCCGTTGGGCTGATTGGCGTCGTTCACTTAGCTGATTGCAGAAGCTATCAAAAATTCGCAGCGACAACGTGTCGTATGCGTGATATTATGCCAGGTCGTGCTCATTCGCACTTGTCTCCCTGGCATCTTCATTCACATTGTGAGTTGCACAACGAAAAATAATTTAAATTATTAGAAATTATATAATAATTTAAAAAAATATAGATATTTGGGTATATAATAAGCAATAAAAATAATATTAGTAATCCAAATAAGGTGCTAAAACAATCAATCAATTTGGAAGGCTACTGAATAATATTTAATGTCGAAAAGAAAAAATTGTTGAATGCAGAAAAAATTCAGCAATAAATAAATTTACCCAACGAATTTATTTAATATGAATATCACGAACAAAGAAAAAATAATTGCCATTAATTTAATATTTTGATTGGACAAGGATTGAAAACAATAGCAAATATAAAACTTGATATACATTTTATTGTAGTAAGTTGTACAGTCAATTTTAAATTAACAGTTTCACCTTACACACAAATCAATAAAATAAGATTTTAGTATAAAGCTATACAAAAACCACACATGAAAACAGTTGGAAATTACAATTTTCAGCAGATTTGTGACTGTGTGGTGTCAGTTGGAAATGGAAACAAGGAAAAGTGAGGAACCTGGAGGAAAAACTTTGTTAATTTTCGAGCAGCTCACGCAATAAAGCAAACGCAGGCAGCGCATCACGTGCGCATTTAAGTTGCAAGTTACAACGGCAACGTGCCGCATCTGAAGATACACAGATACCGTACACCCGGCCCCACACGGATACTCACTCACACCGTTATGGGAACAGGACTAGTTAGCTCATGTCAGTGTAAATTTTACACACAGGCGAAACCTGATGCCGCATACAAAACCCGAGCGACTTTACCTCCCATCATCTACCTCACCTTTTTGCGGTTTATATTCAGGCGCGTGTGCAATAAAAAGATATACCCAGTCGGCATTACGGAAGGCGAGGCAAGTTTTTGGCATCTACGGCGGAAGCAGGACGCTCCCGGGAAGTCGGGCAGTGGCAAAACACATAGCTGGCTGCGCTGCATAATCAGGCAAAGGCGACGGCGACAACGACAACATTTATCAAATGAAATGCACGTGCCAAGCGCTTGGCTGGCCCGCTTCCGTGTGCCGCGTTTTGGCCGGGCTTAGGGTCCTCCGAGGTGCCATAGCTTCGGGACGGGCTTGTGCACGAGGTTCGCCGGAAAAGTTGCACAACAATCACCCAAGAGTACAGCAAAATAGTTAATGGCGTTTAACAAATTTCCACCGACTCTAAATCACTTCAAAAGTAATACATTTATATATATTCTTTTGGAAATAAGAATGTAATATGTTTTTTTCACTGGTTTATGTAAACCTTAGTACATTTTTAACACTATTTATAATTTATATTTATATTTATATTGGCTTTGCCTTTTCCAAAAAGTCTTATGATATATTTATAATATGTGCCCAATTATTTCAAATTTGTCTCAATCGCAAGAAAATATAGCTATTTATTATGGTGTTTTGGCTATCGATTTCTGAAATAAACCTTTTAAAATATCTTTAAAGAACCCAAATTCATTTAATTAATTAGGCAGCCCTCGTTCTGGGCATATCTATATTATTCCCTCGTATTCAGTATCAGCACATCTATCGTCTATATGAGCGAAATCACCTGCCAAGTACACTGCATCTCCATAATTAAAACAAGAGACAAGGGGCCCCACTATCAGATACCCGTTACTCAGGTAAAGGAGGCAGGAGATGGAGATAGAAACTTGATCACGCATAACTTTTTAACGAATGGTCCGATTTGAAAAATTTCTTCTCATTTCGATAGGTATTGATAAACACAATAAAACGCATTTTTACTTTTCCGAAATATTTAAATTTTAAAATCGTATATAAGCGATTGTGGGCGTCAGAGGGGCGTGGCACCATTTTGAAACAAACTTGCGCTGCGTAGGAACTCCTAGAATCTGCATGCAAAATGCCAATCTTCTAGCTTTTATAGTTTCCGAGATCTCAGCGTTCATACGGACAGACAGACAGACAGACAGACGGACAGACAGACGAACAGACGGACAGACGGACAGACGGACATGGCTATATCGACTCGGCTAGTGACCCTGATCAAGAATATATATACTTTATAGGGTCGGAAACGCTTCCTTCTAGCTGTTACATACTTTTGCACGAATACAATATACCCTTTTACTCTACGAGTAACGGGTATAATGAGCTAAGTTTCTGGGTTAAGTTTCTTTTGCAATGAATTATCTCAGCGATATGGAAGTGAGTTATTGACTAGACTTGTTGACTTGTTTTTGGTTGATTAAAAATATTATCATACTCACATAGCATATTAGGATATAATGGTTTTGCCATATTATAAAACTATATAAATAAGAATTTCTGATATATGAAATTTAGCTGTTTGAGGGGGATCGTAAAATGCTTTAAAATGCGATTATAATCCCTTCGACATTTCTTTGATGCAGCGATGACTGCCTCCCTTTTGGCGCCCCTCCAGAAATGGCATTCTGCTGTCGTCGAAGTTTCCGCACCTTGCAACCAAGTGGCTGCTCCTTCAGCTGCTTAAGTGCCATGCATTAAGATTGAGTTGTTTTCCTTGTAGCCACATCGCCCCTTCCCAACCTTCGTGGCACATTCCACTCGAGAAAATCGATGATGTCTTGGGTGCTTTTGTTTTTGCAGCCGCACTCCAACTTGAAAATGTTTTGATAAACTAGCGCTCTGGCTATGCAAAGAAGGGAAACGTAAAGAAAAAATGGAAAAGAAAAGAAGCCCGGCAAGTTAAAGCTGCAACAAATGCAGCAACAATGGCAATTCAACCAACAACAGCTTTAGCAGTTGTCAAAACGATTCTGAGAAAGGAGGGAACAAACTTTTTGGCCAACTGTCGAAAAACAAGCGAGATGAAATTGGTACAACAATTGTCAATGCGTCAATTTGAATGGATTTCAGATGCATCAGGAGACGCTGCCTCAGCTGATAAAAATATCAACAGAAACAAGTGTCTAAAGTTTGTCTAAGAAAGTACTACCAAACAGTATGCATAAAAAAGGTAATTTTTTTTACTAATTCAAACAAAAAGGAAGCAAACTTCGACAAGCCGAAGTTTATACACCCTTGCAGTTATTACAAAACGACTACATTTCGATTTGTATACCTATATTACTAAAAACAATGAAGCTATGGCGATTTTGGGCTGCATTTTGCCAACGTTACAATAGCAGCTGATATATGATATTGTTGTCCGATATTGATAAAACTAAAAGTGTAATTCTGATATAGAATATAAGTACTATAATTACTATAATTACTATATCACAGAAAAATATTTTTTTCCATTTTAATATTTAAAATTTTTTGATTTTTCTATGGGAGCTTTACGATATAGATGTCCCATTTTAATTTAATTAAAACCGTAATTTCGTAGTATTTAAATATTACAAAATCCGAAAGAACAAAAAAAAACAACAACAAAGTAATACTTTTTTCCCATTTTTTATCCGGTTGTTCCTATGGGACCTATATGATATAGTCGCCCGATCCGGCTCGTTCCGACTTATATACTACCTGTAATAGAAAGACAACTTTTGGAAGAGTTTCAAGCAGATAGCTTTAAAACTGAGGGACTAGTTTGCGTAGAAACTCTCCTGGTAATCCTGATCAAGAATATATATACTTTATATGCTTCTGCAATTCGAATGCAGATTTTTAGAGAATCGAAACACAAGGCTTTAGAGGTATGCCACTTTGGAATCGATTTAAATTTGGTAAAGTTATGGACTCTAGAAGACCAATTTTAAGTCACTCTTTTACAAGACATCGGAAAATTAGAAATAACTAATATGAAAATGGGTCAAAAATTTGATCAGTGTTAAATTAAAAATTTTGAATGCAGATTTTTAGAGAATCGAATCACAAGTCTTTAGAGGTATGCCACTTTGAAATTTGGTAAAGTTATGGACTCTAGAAGTCCAATTTTGAGTCACTCTTTTACAAGACATCGGAAAATTAGAAATAACTAAGATGAAAATGGGTCAAAAATTTGATCAACGTTAAATTGAAAATTTTGAATGCAGATTTTTAGAGAATCGAATCACAAGTCTTTAGAGGTATGCCACTTTGAAATCGGCTTAAATTTGGTAAAGTATTGGACTCTAGAAGTCCAATTTTGAGTCACTCTTTTACAAGACAGCGGAAAATTAGAAATAACTAACATGAAAATAGGTCAAAAATTTGATCAGTGTTAAATTGAAAATTATGAATGCAGATTTTTAGAGAATCGAATCTCAAGTCCTTAGAGGTATGCCACTTTGAAATCGGCTTAAATTTGGTGTGTTTAACAAACCTAAACTCTTAGTTATTGCTGACTTTTAAGCATTTAAATTTTGAAATAAGATTTTATGAAATTACACTGAGTTTATTTAATTTGTAAGGAATCGTGGGCTATATATTTTTTTTGCGTGTCAAAGCAGTCCTTGACCCAAAAATCGGTATACAAAACAACCAAACAGAGCGAGATATTCAAAGAGCAACAAGGTAAAATATGATTTGGAAATTTCTTATTTGCTGCCTGCTTGGCCACTCGTTCGGTAAGTGGTCTTGAGTGCTTTAATTAACGTAGAACACCGACCTAAACCTTACAAAATCCGGGTAGTTATTGGGATCGGGGCCAAATGTCTGCGGAGCACAGGCCACATGTGGCAGCTGAAGCCTCCGACCGGGTCAACCAGCTGCAGTCGACCGTCATTACTGCCCAGAAACGCAACTGCCACTGAAAAGCCAGCATCGACAACAGTCGACATTGGAAAAGCAACAATGGAAGCATCGGTGCCGGAGGTTGCAGAATCCTTAACTGCCCCTCCTGCGGTGATTCTGGCCAACTACGTCTACGAGTGCGCCAGTCGCCGGACAGCAAGCACTTGCAGCCAGCAGCCGGAGAAGGAATCGAAGCCGGAATTTAAATCCGGTCCGGAGTCGGAGGTGGCTAAGCCCCAAACTGCAACACTGGCAGTCGGCGAACTGGAAGGATTCAGGCCAACTGTGTGAGATGGGCAGGAAGCGGGCAGGAGATTAATCCAGCTGATGGGCCGGGCGATTTAAGTCCCATATATACATTTGCATATATTTCATAAGGCAATAAAGTTAGCCAAGCAATCGTCATGTATCTTACTAAGCCTTAGAAACTGTAATAGAATACTATTATACTATGATACAGGGAAAAGTTTTTATAATTAGCGGCTAAGCGTACTTTAAATAAGAAAATAGGTAAAAATGAATATAAATTGTTCATGGTCATCTTTGAAAACATATTCTGTGTCTAAACAATGATTTTGTACTAATCAAGTTGAACAATCGTTTTAATTTGTAATTGACGTCTGTTCGTCGATATAAACATCTGTTTACAGTTACGAAAGCAGCCGATTTTATTTCTTATTTTTATTTTCAAACCAGAAATGTATATAAAGTGTTTGTTAACAGAGACTGCTGGTATGCTTACAAAGCGATAAGAAATAGAATTATTGTTCAGTTGTAAACTGAGAGCTTTTCAGTTGTATTATCTGGAAGCTTATCAGTAGCGGCAGCAGATCTCTATAGTCTAGAATTTTAGTCCGATTAGTTCAGTCATGGCAGCTTGGCTCAGTTCAGAATACCTGGAAAATGCACTGCGTCGGCATTACCAGAATCCCAAACTTCGAGTGGAATCTGTGGATATAAAACCGGCCCTGGGAAAAGGAGAAAACTATGGCGCTATATTAACACGTATACGCCTCGTATACAGTGATGGCCTGGGCGGCCAAGTTGAAGAGCATTTGATTGCAAAAACCACTTTGGAAGATGAAGATGCGGAGACCAGGAAAAAGAAAGCACCATATGATATTTACAATCGGGAACTAGAGATTTACGAACAGGTTTTGCCAAAATTGCAAAAATTAGCAGGCGAACAACTATGCCCTAAAGTACTTCACATTGATCGTCAGCGAGGAGCACTAATAATGGAGGACTTGAGCTATGGAGGATTTGTTATGGCCCCAAGACTGCACAGATTGGATGAGCAGCATGTGAGTTTGGTTCTAAGAAAGTTGGCCAAAATGCAGGCAGCTTCAGCGGTTTTGGAGGAACATGCAAAAGATAATAACTTCTCCCTAACCAAATACGATCGCGGATTCTTTAATCGCTATACGGAAAGTTTTAGTGCCTACTTTTTGGGCTGCCTGAAGTCCTGTGCCAGTCACCTGAAAAACCAGCCTGAGTACGAAAGTCAGGCAAAACTATTAGAGGACCTAGCCCCTCATTACATGGGGCTGGGACTTCGCTGTTTTCAGCCCGAGGACTCGCATATTAATGTCCTGACGCACGGCGACTTGTGGACAAACAACATGATGTTCAAATACAAGGAGGGCGTGCCGAGCGATGTCCTTCTGATTGACTTCCAGTACGCATTCTGGGGCTCGCCCACGCTGGACATCCATCATCTGCTCAACACGTCGGCCGTGGAGCGAGTGCGAAGCGAGCTTCAGATTAAGATGAGATGTGTCTACCACGATGTGTTTGTGAGGGAGCTGCGGAGGCTTGGATTCAAAGGTCAAAGGTTACACAGTCGAAAGCAGTTTCACCTAGAGTCCGAACAGAAGCGCTTTTATGGTAAGTAACCTCGAAGCTTTAATCACTGAGAGATATAAGTACTCATAAATAATTTATATTTGAATGTTGCATATTTTACTTGTATTTTGTTGTATTCACGACTTTATACAGTTTTTATACAAAATGATTCTACCTTTTTGTATACAATTTATACCTTAAAAAATCACTGAAGATTCTACATTCTGAGTACAAGTACAAAGAAACTACTGATGACATGAGTTTCGTTATTTCTGCAGCTGTTCACTGCGGATTGCTCCTACAGCCCGTGCTGCTGAATACCGATGAGACTGATGCGGATTTCGCCGCCCTGCTATCGGATCAACCCCGCGGAATGAACATGAAAAGGCGGCTGTATCTCAATCCGGACATACATGACTCCATCAGGCAGCTGGTGGTGCAATTCGAGCTAGAAGGACTCCTGGATCCGCGGCAGTACGAAGCACTCTAAACCTGGGTGTAGCGAATTTTTCTGCTCTTTCATAAACTCCCCCATTAGACTTTTCAATTAGACGAGCTAATAAACATAAAACATGGGAGCCACAGCCGCAGGCATTTTAAAGCCAGCCGTCAGAAGCTTTTTGAATTATGAACCGAGTTGGGAAAATAAGAAAAAATGCCAAAACGAAAACACATTCAGTTGGCCCAGACAAAAGCGCAACAAATTTAGCTGCTGCGAAATGGGAAAAATGGAAAGACGGAGGCGGCAAATGGAAAGGCGAGAATAGTTACACACATTTTTTGAATTGTTTAGCATTTTGAATGAGTGAATGAATGAACGCCATGCAGAGCTGTGAGTGCGTGTCTGCCGCAGAAAATGAAAATGAAAAGAAATGGGAAATTGAGACCCGGAGGAAAATGGGGAATCCTGCACGTGGCCTCTGCTTAATTAAAACTTTAGTGCGAAATGCCAGCCAAGCTGTTGGAAAATTAACCAAATTATCACGTGTCTGCCGCTGGCATTGCAGCATTCAAAACTGCATTAAAGCCGAGTGCAATTAGGCTAAGCTGCGCCATTTAGCCCGGCCTGCGCCTGAAACTAGGCAACAGTTTATTATAGTTAAAAGGAAACGAGAAAAAATAAACAAACTTTCATAATGTGCACAACTATCTGTCATCGAGAAAATGAATGCCAAATTTGTCTTTTGGTTGTCAGAAAAATTAACTATCTTTTTTAAAATAATGTCTATAAATGTTAAACCTTTAAAACAAACATCAACCCATTTTTTTTGAAAAATAAATAACATTTTACTTGGTTAACAAAAAGTTTTTGTCGGAAAAAAAATTGTTTTCTACTGGCGAAAAACTTGATTTAATAGAAGTTCCACTGTAGTGATGCACACAAAAATCCTAAAAGGAAGACGGGAAAATAACGAGGGTTGATTCGCCCCCATAACTTTTCGAAAATTCCAACTAAGCCTAATGCATGCCATTTAACGATTGTCTTTGTGTACATACTCGAGAGTGTGAGTGAGGTTGTGCGAGTGTGTGTACCTGCTTGTTTATGTGTTTTTCCTATCTCACTGGGAGACATCCTCAATTCGACAGAATTGTTGCGCGTAAAAAGCAGCCTGATATCCTATTTTTATTTTCGCTGCCATCGTCGTTCTTTTATCTTCTCTATATGAGTTTCTATTTACTTTGTTTATGTGCCTGTACATGTTTCCCTTCGAGGATAAGCAATTCTTGTGAAAATGTATATGTGTTGAGTGACTTTACTGCTCAACAAATATTCAGAAAAAATTACAAATTATGCATTTTTGTAAAAACTGTTTTATTGCATTTTTTGAAACATTTTTCTCTTTTTTTCATGTCAAACATGAAAATCAACTTAAGTTGATTTCCAATAAATATTGGTTTGTATACCCCCAACTTATTTTACTTAAATAACTTTTGAATTTGTAATCAATATTTGATGCGCTGTAATGGAAAGGATACTCTCTTAAAAAGTGTGAATATTGAATTAACTTAATGGAACACAGAGTAACTATTTGCTTCCACGTTTCTTTTTTATTAGCTTGAATTTCTCTTTCATTTTTTTTAACTGAAAATGCGTACATGTAAACATTATGAATTGTTTATGAAAAACTCGTTTTACTTTTTATCCATGAGTTTAATTTGATTTATTTTTTACCTAGAGTTGAAGATTTTATTTTCCCTCTGCTTAATTGTATTTCTGGTGAAATGACAAGTTCAGGTTGGGAAACTTTCTATCCTAGGGAGCCATTCTGTAGATTAAAACTTTGGGTTGCCCAAATTAAAAGAAAAGCAAAATAAAAAGCAAAGTTTACTGGGCACTGGAGTGGTGGAGTAAAAATATTAAAATTGCTGTCCAGCCGGGATTTATTTTCTTAATCCAAATAATGTCAAAAAGCCACAAACAAGCGACAGCCACATAAAACAACTTAGCAAATGAGCACACAACACACGCACTCATACTTTCATACAAGGGGGCAAACCGAAGAAAAATGTAATTTATTGTTATTACGAAAATAAATAAGAAAGGCAAGACACAACAAGGAACGAAATGAATCAGGGGGCTGGCGAAGGAGTGGCCACGCCCACTGTCCTCATACAGACACACACATACATGTGGCAATGCTGCAGAGCTGAAATTGTGGCAAATAAAAGCGAAGAAATTAAGCAACTGACCGCTGGCAAATAAACCGAAAAAGCGAACACAGACAAAGAAAAAGCACAAGAAATGGCAACGGCAGCCATTTTATATGCCATTACATTGTAAATAAAGTATTGTTTATTCCTGGTCGTATGTGTGCGTCGGTTTAGTGAACTATAACAAGTGAATTTATGTGAAACCGAAGTTGTGCCACTGCTACATTTACTTAATAACCCAGTAGCCAAACTCAGGTCAAGTTTTATTTGTCACCAGGGAGGCGAAAAGGAATTTCAATGGCATTATCGCTAAGCACTTAATCAGGTTTGGAATAGGCACAAGTTTGGGTTTCAATCTAATCAACTCGATTCCACATAGACCCAGAAAAAAGGTGGTTTCAAACATTTCTTGCAAATTGCAAAACTTCATCAGTTGAAAGTTTGGCCTAGTGCAACATTCTATGGCTCATTTTGCCAAATATTACTCGGCCGTACTGTACAGCCATAGCTGCAATATTTCAATTTATCTGCAGCTGAGCCATCGAGTTGATTTCGCCCACCCCGAAAACCCTTCGGGTCAAGTGTGAGTAATTACCGCAGTTAGGCCGATCCAGCCGAAGGGAACCTGAGCCGGCAAATGAAATTTCCATGAGTCCAAGGACCAAGCTTTAAAAATAGCTGCCTCCTGGGGAAAATGGTAAAGCGCTTGTTTTTGTATTTTCTGCTGCTCAGTTGAGCATGTGCTCTGCGTATGTGTGTGCGTGTCAGTGTGTTTGCAGGAGGTCAGAAAACACTTGACTAAACATTTTCATTTTGGCCAAGGGTGGCCAGAAGTCAATGAATTTTGCCACATGGCGTATGCTTGATATTGCGTGCTGTGTGTTTCTAGCGCTAAATGATTTCATTAAGTGCGAACTCCAACACGCTGGCCAATCAATAAAACAAAGTTCTAAATATTTAAAGCCATGTTGGAAAATAGCAGAGATACATTTCCTAATTTCAATTATCTTTAGAAAGCTATTTAGCAAAATATTAGTCATCATTTTTACTGAAAGAAAAGTAAATAACATGAAAATACAGTTTACCTAAGAAGGAATAACAGAAAATACGCCTAGAAGCGAATTCACTTTAATTGGCATTTAATTCGAATTAGCATTTTAACTGTAATTGAATATTGATAATGAAATAAGTGAATTTCAAAAGCCGGACGAAGTCAATAGCGATGACCTTTCGCCCATGGAAGGCAAGGCGTCAATGACACATGGAATGCGACTTACATGTCGGACAAAAATGTAATTTATTCAGTGCCGAAACAAAGACACTGCCACGCCCCAACTGAGCCCACATAATGAAAGACAAACAAAGCATTCTTTCAGGCGCCGCTGCAACTGTTTGACATGGATAGCTGTCTTTGGGTGTGTCAAAGTTCAAAGGACGAGGCGCAAGAATTAATACGGATTAGGTGAGCGACGACACATAGACCAGCCAACGGTCCCGATCCATCATCTTGGCACCAAGGGGTTAATGCCCTAATTGCATTAGTTGTGTGCGTCCATGATAAATCCATTTTCCAGACAGTTATTGAAAACTTATTAGTCTGCAGGCCAGGAAAATTGTACATCCAACAAGGACACTTTTGTATTCCCAAGAAATTTCATCGTATATGTAAGTTTACAACTTGTCAATCGAGTGGGCAAATGTGAAATTGCCTAAATGAATGGCTACTGAAACTAATCGATTTAGTCGAGCTGAATTTTAATTGCAGACAAGGATCTTGAGGGTCTAATAGGAAAATGTGAAATAGCTTGAAAATTAATAATTAAGCTGCGTAGGTCGATGGGAATTTATTGTAAAGCGTATGAAGTCTTGAAGAACCTTAAGAGTATCCACCAGAAAACAAATCCTTTTAAAGAGATGGATTTTTCCTGCTCTCAGAGAGATTATGTTTACTCACGACTTTCCCTCACAAACTCTCTGGCTCTCTCTGCACAAAAGCTTTCATCCTGCAGCTTTTGTCTCTCCTCTCAAAGGATGCTGGGCGAAAAGCGCTCAAGCTCTGGCGAAATGAGTCCTATCATTGAGTCCATATTGAGTTAGGTGCTTTTCACATTTGATATCCTTTCGCATTTCTCTCGTTGTTTTGTGTGCAATTCCACTTGGCTTAAATTTCATTTTCCTATGTCTTCAGCATTAGCCAGCACATTCCTTCTTTCTTAGCCCACAATTCTGTTTTTGTTGCCACTTCATTTTGGCCGAAAGAGAGGAGAAAGGACTTCCCAGCCCGCTTTTGTTTTTTATCTTGCTGTTTGCCCTGCCTTGGGTTACCCGTTTTCCTTCTGCTCCTTATCTCTGCCCCTTTCCATTTTTTTTGTTGCTCAGTTTTTCCTCTGTTTTTGTTTTTATTGAACAGCGAACGCTTTCATTGTTTGATTTTTGTCAACGCTTTCCTGGCTCTGCTTCACTTTGCTTACATAAGTGCTCGTCCTGTCGTCCTGCTAACTTGGCCAAGATGGGGCGCTGGAGGACTGTGCCATTTGTTTCTGCATCTTGCGTGTTTAGTTTTTTCTTTATTTGGCTTACCCCATTGGTCATTGTTCATTTCTCGGTTAGTTGGTCTTTTAATCGCCTTGCTTAGTTATCCTGCCAACTGACTTTAGCCGTCTTTAGCCGGGCTTTTCGTTTCAATTAGTCAGAGAGCATTGCTTAAAGTGCTTTCCCGGTCTTTCGACTTAATCCCGGAGCCACGTTTGAGTTATTAGGTTAATATTTAATTGACATTTGCCAGATCAAAGTCGGTAGGTAGTAGTTTGTTTTTTTGTTACCTAAGCTAAGCTGCTTAACGAGCCAGGATTTTATTTTATCCGCCATTGATACGCTAATTACAGGCGATAATTTATCAAGCACACACACACACACAAGTTCACCCGACTGCTAAAAATTCAGCTGCAGTGGCAAAAATTGCTACTTAATTATCCCATTCTTTGTACTCCCCCTTTGCAATCCTTCGCATCCATTCTTGGCTCATGCACGTCGTCAATGTCACGACTGCATGCCGCCGTTTTCCCTCCCTTCACTTGGGGTAACTTTACAATTAACTACTAATTGCTCATACGCCACGTTGCTCGGATAGAACAAAGTCAGGTGTGCGTGGCGGCAGCAGTTTTCCTACCTCCCATCCGCCCATCGCTCTATTTTTCTTTGCCCGCCTTTGGCTCTAATTATCCGCGTTGTCACCCACCTGGCAGCGTTGTTGTCGCCATCGCAGTCTGGCATTTACTGAATTAAGTTTTAAATTTTTATTAAATGCCTTTGCGCATTTTTGGTCCCAGGCTTTCAGCTACTGTAATTAGTTTTTAATTGCTTTTCAGCTAACGTAACTATGCAAGGTTGCAAACGAATCTTAAATAGTTCACTGCTCTGTTAAAGATATACCGATTTCCCTCATTTTTCACTTTTTAAGAGGCCCAGCTGCGGAAAAGTCACTCAGCAATTGGGTCTGATCCACATCAACGGCTTGTTTGGAAAATGGCATAAAAATATGCGAACAAAAAAATGAAAACCAGCAAAAAGCGGCGGCAGGGATAAAAAGGAAAGTAATCACAAAACTTTCGCAATAAATCTATGAAAATAATGAAAAACCCAAAGTGCTACCCGACCTTCTCCCGCACTATTAGGTTTTCAATATTTCACGCATATAGGAGGATGTCAATATGGAAATGGATGGGTCGCCCAAGAGTTCAGTGCGACAATAAAATACTCTCAGGCCAAGAAATGCCAGTAGAGAGACAGACTGGAAAGAAAATTGCGATTGGAAATTATATATTACAGCTACATCAAGCCAATATAAAAATTTGTAAGGAAAAATCAAATTGAGTTTCAGTTTTCAATACCTAATCAATTGAAATTTACACAGTGGTTTTTAATTTCCCCAGCAATATTAAATGGTTAATTTTAATAAAATATAAGCTGTTATACATTTGTTAATATTATCAAAGATACTTTTAAAAACATTTATATTTTAAGCCATTGTTTAGCTTAACACCCTATAAATAAAATTAATCAGAACGTTTCGAGATCTCTTTTATACTTAAACAAATAAAACAAATTCTGAAATAAAGATAATTGGTTGCGAAATTTGTTGCCCTCTTATTTATCTCTGCATAAGTCTCAAAGAAACTCAAATTTGATTATTTATTTTCTTGTCAACAAATGATGCTTTGCCAACTCTGGGTATCAGGTAGCTTTAATCACATAAAGCAAATACTTCACTCCCACAGAGTATCAATCAGCAAACATTGTATGCAAAAAGGTCCTTCACGTAGACACACGGTCCATGTTCGTTCCAATTTCGCACACAAACAAGCAATGCTTTCCTGCACATACATACTCACCTCGTGTAAATTGCAAACACATGTCGAAGGCGCAAAACATTGTCAAGCAAAATGAAAAATTTATGAAAATAAAACAACAACAAAAGCAGCGAAAAATATGTCGGGCCAGCTGCAAAAAAAAAGTGAAACAAACAAAAAATAAAACATATTTTACAAGGGGAACTGAAAAAAGTGAAATTTTCGTTTCGTTTACGTGAAACTTCCAACTCATTTCGCCCAAATGACAAGCCATTTTGTGTGCCAAGTGCCAAATATTTTACATGCCAGCCAAACATATTTTGGCTCAAAAGAGCTCAACAAAATGGAGAATTCGTAGAACGAGCAGAGCAGCTGGCTCACTTTTGCGAAATCGCTCATACGCAACGTTGCCGCCAAGCATTGAACAGCTTCAATTGCCGTTTGATGGTTCATTAAAATGTTGCTTGCTGCATTGGTTCGGAGCAATCGAGCACAATAAATCGGGACCAGGTGCTCACAGAGCATTTAAATGAACGATGCAATACCCCCAGAAGAGCCCCAAAATGATCCAGTTTGCCAGATGGAGGCCATTTGCCAATGGCACCTATGCTAAATTAGTGTTTTGCCACAAGCTTAGATAAATAGCAAAATAAATTAAAGTGTGCAACTTGGGCTCCATCTTAATTGCCAAGCGAAGCCAAGTCTTGAGGGGATCTTAACCCAAAAACATATTCTCACTGTGGAATAAAATTAATGGGATACCTGGCACACGTGCGCAAGTATTTGCAATCATTATTTATCCCGGAATTGCAAAACATTAAAATGGGAGGGAAATCGTATACTTCTGTTATTGTCTAGGTTTTTTTTTTTATTTAAATAAGTTGTCTTTCATAAATATATGAAAGAATAGGTATTAATATAAAATATATAATATTGATAGTATTTAGTAATTCAAGTGTTTGGTATTTATTAATTTAAAAAATCATAATTTTGTTAAGACTTAAATATTTAAAATTTATTTACATTTTGCCCTTATTGATGTGAAGGCTGTCATTTTAACCAATTTGAAGCGGTTTTAGAAATACGGTGAAGAAGCTTGTTACACTTGTTGGGCTTACACCGTTTCTTTCTTTCTTTTTTAACACATTTAAAAAATAGTCTAAACTTACCTTCTCCCACCATGATATTACAAAACCACAGAAATTCTTCGAATTCGACGGGGTATTGCGTTGTCGAGTATCTATGGTTGTGTTCTTTTTAGTCAGGCTTTTCATGCTTTTACATGGCACCCACACAGGTGCTTTTCCTGACTCGAGCCGTGCACATATCTAATTTTAAACATTTTTCAAACTCAATTACATTCCAAGAAGTCGCGCCGAGGGAGGTGGCAGACATGAGATGATGGGAAATATGTATGTGGGAGTGCCCCTGCCAGGTAATTGCTTGCAAATTACACAGTAACCCCGGGAAGTAAAAACCAGGGGAGACAAAAACTGCGAGCTGCGAAAACAGCGAAAAGTTTCCAGCACAGCTGCCTGAAGTTGAGAGACTCCTCGTAATGAAATCAAACAAAGACACCGAATGCGAGCTCCCTTGCAGAAGGGGAAATCATCTTAAATTAGCAGCAAAACTCGGCAATTATGCGAGAAGTTGGCCAAAAGCAGTTGCCAACTCCACAAGCCATTTTTCTTTTTGTGTGTCTCCACCGAGCAAATGCTAATGACTTGAAGTGCCCGCACAAAGCCAAAGAGAAAGCGAAACGAGGGTGGGAGAAAGTCAAGCCACAGGTTGACTGACAAACACATTGACGGCTCCGAGTGGTTGCCGGAAATGGCTACGCCGAACAGCACAAAATGGCTGTTTGTTTGCTTCCGGTCTGGGCCAAAGACGGCAAACACATTTAGCCACGAAGTGAGGAAAGTCCCGCCCCGACCTCGCACATATTTTATGCAAACGAAAAGCTCACTGCCACTCTACTCTGCTGGCAAGCAAAAATATCTATATAGGTGCTCTCACCGCAAACTTAAAATAGAAAACCGCGCCTTCTTCCCCCAGTCGCCTGGCCACATTCAAAATGCTTAGTTCATATTAATAATTCATAAAAATTTATGCGAAATAGACAACATTCGCTCCTGCGGTCTAAACCTGGCTGACAGCTGCCATTTGCGGTCGGTGGGCCAATGAAGTCGACTCCAGCCAGCTGTTTGGTGTATTTGATATGCATTCGCCGTTGTTTTTATTCTACTTTTTGTTTACATAACATCAAGCTGCTGCAAAAGCACCATATATTGCCCCCGTTGATGTTGCTCGTTCAGTCCATTGTTTTTTTACCAATTTATTTTCTGTATACAAGCTTACATTTTTAAGCAAGGTTCTGCCTAGTGTTTGCTTCTGTGTAACCTTGCTTCTGCGTTATTTCAGCATGGTAAATGGAGCTGAAACATGAAAAATTTTAAACATGCTGTTATTTATTAAAGGTATTAAATATGCAAAACCTGGTTTTATTTTGGTATGGTCTTCCTTCGGCTTTAAACTCTAAAGTCTTGGGTCCTTGAGTTTTGTACTACAATTTTGCATACCAATAAAATAAAGTTTATAAGGTTCATATGAAATATAACTGCTCCTGTTTTCATCAAATGCTTAACAATTTAAATTATCTATAAGGAAATAACAAGTAAAAATTTTAATTTGGCCCAACATTTTCTCATACTGATACTTGTTTTAATTAAAATGAATAAACGGTATTTACTTAATTTTAATTTATTTGTATGCCATTCCTAGAAGAAAGTGTCTCCATCATTTACCCACACATCGCTACTTATAATTTGTCATATAAGCTATATAAGAGCGCAGCAATTATAAAAGTAATTTCACATTAATCCGCTTAAAAATTAAAAGAAATTGAATTTTAAACCTCCCACCAAAGGCCACATTCAATGAGAGATTTTTTTCAATTCACTAGATGATGCGATTATGCCAGTTAGATACATATTTTCAAATCGAAGCAGTTCTTGCGTACGAAGTCCTTAAAATTAAAAATATATTTGATAACGTTACAAATTTTTCCCAATAAGTTTCTTTGGTTTAAATGGTTAGATTCAGGGGGCCATTAAAAGTGGCTTGTTGCTGGAGTCGCAGGATGTGTTTTCGAATTGAGGAAGGGATTCTTTGGTGCATGCAACGTCATCGCGGGAAATTTGTCGGCTTGCTTCATCCCTTTTCGGCATTAGTTCTCCTAAGTCTGATTGGATTTCTGTTCGTCTATGAGTTGTGGTACGTTCTGCCTCTGTTGACCGATCCTCAGGGGATATGGCACAAGTTAAACTGGCTGCTGGCCATTTATACGGTCTTCAATATTCTGGGCAATTGGTGGCTCGGATTTATGTGCAATACTGCGGTGGAAAGTTTACCGCCCAAGCGACAGCATCCGTCGGCAGGTGAGGCACACCTGTGGCACTATTGCACCTCCTGCCAAAAACTAGTGCCCCCAAGGTCCTGGCACTGCAGATTGTGCAACCAATGCATACTGAAGCGGGATCATCACTGCACGTTCTCGGGGAATTGTATTGGCCACAATAATCAGCGGTATTTCCTTGGGTTTTTATTTCACCTGAGTTTCGGGAGCGGACAGGCGCTCGTTTATAATGCCATGTTGGCCTGGAAATCCAAGGCCTTTTTGGTCACCGACCCATTGTTGTTTATGAATGAAAATCATTCAAATGATCCGGATTTCAATTGGAAGTACACAGTTGCCAGCATGCTTAAGCTCAATTTCTTTCTTTTTATGGTGCCCCTGGGAATGTTTGTCCTGCAAATGCTGATGGTCTATCGGAACAGTACATGCTATAGGATACTGGATCGCAGCTACGATGTCGGTTGGCAGCAAAACTTCAATATTGTACTTGGGAATCGGCGATTCTGGACCTTCTTTTCGCCCACCATTTCAAGTCCTCTTCCAAACGACGGAACTCAGTGGTTTCAGAAGCAGCACGTTTAATACTGGGAAATAAAAACAGAAGTAAATACTTTTATTATAGCAAAATTATTGGGTCAACTTTATATTTTATACGTAATGAGAAAGTACAAAATATAAAAACCATTTTGTTTTCAATATTATTCTTATTGCAGGTTTGCATTCTATTTAACATTTGGGTTGATCGATTGACTTACATATTTTCCAAAATATATGATTTACAAAATTTCATTTCCAGCTCGTTGTCAATAAATGTTAAAAACATAAAAGAAGATGTAAGATGGATAAGTCACAGTTCAACGGAAAATGAAAAACAATAGGCATCGAAAGCAAATGCCTGTCATGAAGCAAAAGTCAAACCCGTAAAGTCAAAGGCGAATTTTGAACCAAAAAATATTTTTTATATTCAATCTTTTAATCGCTGGTTAATTGTTCTTAAAATTAGCAATAACAATCATGTGCATCGTGACAGAGTTGTGCCATAATTATGCAAAACGATATCCCCATAAGTTCGTAAGCATAGGACATCCTTCATCAGTCATTTTGGTAGTGGCTGGGACCATTTTTTTCTACACGCTGCAGATGTTTTACATAACGCCCATCATTTTCAATGGCCTGTTGTACAAAATCAGCTGGGTAGTGGCTACCTTCATAACGTACAATATCCTGGGAAATATGCTTTTCTGTTATTCCACAAACACGTCGGTGGAATGTCTGCCCAAGGATCGTCAACTTCCGGTGCCTGGAGAGGAGAACCTCTGGCATTATTGCGAAATCTGTCAAAAGCTAATGCCGCCTCGATCCTGGCATTGTGCATTGTGTAGATGCTGCATTTTAAAAAGGGACCACCACTGCATCTTTGCGGCCACCTGTATTGGACACAATAATCACCGATATTTCTTCTGGTTCACATTCTATTTGACAATTGGGACCGCCTTGAGCCTAGCTACCTCATTAATTTATGCGGTAATGAGTGGCAGCTTTTTACCCTGGTTAATTATTAAGGATTCAATCGAAATTAAAGGCATTTTCAGTAGCTACTGTCAGTATCTTATTTTCATTCTTAACAATTTGGCCTGCGGTGTCCCTGCAATTATGTTGGCATTTCAAATACAGATTATTTATCTAAATGCTTCGTACTATGAAATAAATAATCGCTCTTATAATCTGGGATTCCGAAAGAACTGCAAACTTATTATGGGTCAACGAGGCCTCTGGACTTTTTTATCACCCTCGTTGAAAAGTCCTTTGCCACACGATGGAACCCAATGGCAGATGAAGCCTAAGGACTAATTTGTTCGATTTCCTAAAAATATAATGTAAGCCAGTAGTCAAACGTCGTATATGAATACTTTTTTTATGTCATGCCGACCCTTTATGTGCTTGCTTTGCAAATGTTTTATTTTAGTGCCCAATTGTTCAAACCTCATATATATAATAAATGTAAACCGATTTTAATAGTTTTTAGCATATAAATCGAAAAATAGAGTAGTTAATATTTGTAAACGCCGCAAAAATAAAATGTATGCTTACTTTTTGAATTTTTAATATTTTTGGGAAAGAAAAAGTAGAATTTAACATCGTACATTTGAAATATTAATCACTGTGGCTAACAGTAAGCTGAAAAATTATAGTTTTTAGGCACCGATCTGCAGTTTATGGAACCTAATCAGGAATCTTTAAGAATCCGGATCACCATGGACTTAGCAGAGCAAAATGAGACAATCGGTTTGGGTCTCATTAAAAAAAGTAGTAAATCTTGGATGGATCTGCTGGCGGTGTTTGTGGCTGTCTTTCTGACCCTATTCTACTACGTTTACGATGTGTTCTACGTAATGCCACAACTTTTGGGATTCTTTGGCCAGGCAGTCCACTTTGTGGTGAGTACTTGGATTGTGTACAACATCCTGGGAAATTTGAGGATCTGCACTAAGACGAAGAACTCTGTGGATACTTTGCCGCTGGAGTTGCTGAAACCGGTGAAGGGGGAGGAGAACTTGTGGCACTTTTGCGATAAATGCCAAAGGACTGTTCCGCCGAGATCATGGCATTGCAAAACATGCAATGTATGCATTTTGAAGCGGGATCACCACTGCAGTTTCGTTGGCAACTGTGTGGGACATAACAATCAGCGATACTTCATCTGGTTCTCCTTTTACGCGACCCTCGGCAGCGGATTAGCATTTTTCGATAATATCCTTTTCGCCCTTAAACACGGCGTTCAAGGTCTTAGTATTTTCTCGATTAATTCCCTTTTGATTAATGAGTATTTCAATCCTGGTACATCTAACATTGGCCTACAGTGCCAAATAAGGGTTGTCTTATGGATTAACTTGTGCGCTGTTATATTTCCGGGTGTCCTGTTTTGTACACAAATATCAATGGTCCGAAAAAACTCTGTAATGCATAATACTTCAGATCGCACCTATGATCTCGGAGTGTGGAGAAATTTTTCTCAGGTCCTTGGACGTCGTCGATTCTGGACTTTCCTGTCGCCGAATATCGAAAGTCCTCTTCCACATGAAGGAACCCAGTGGCCATCAAAACATACGCATACCATTTAAACTTATTTTGATATCCATTTACCCATCGTTGACCATTGTCAGTTGAATATATTACATTTTGGAACCGACACAATCTAGTCTTTTGCTTCATTTAATTCGGCTAATTACCATAGGAAAATAGAGGGTGAAAAGTGTAAGAGATAGTTGTGCACGTGTCAAACTTTTTCCGATTGCCAGTTGAGATTGCAAATTTGTTTTCCCTTGTTTTAATAGTCATCGATTTTAGGTATAAAGTCTTGGGCAAAATGTCACCAATGTTTAAAGATTCCAGGGTAAATACATTTAGATTTCGCTAAACAGAACAACAAAATGCATATTTCCAAATAAAGCTAATTTTTACGGTGACCAAGTACGTACTAAAAGGAAATTTACTATAACATGGAACTATAGAAAAGGAAAATCTTTAGCTGTGCCATAAATTTCTATTATGATGACAATTATAGTTGCGATTAAGGAACGAAAGAAATTTTAATTACTGGTTTAAATTTATGTAGTGGTTTTTGTGTACGATTTTTAAAACATGAAAAAATGAATGACTTTTGCTGAAATGGTTGGCAAATGGTGATTGGCTTATAAAAGATAAGAGCGCGTGATTTTATTTCCGACTTTAAACGCTCTACATTTGCGTAAACTTCCTCCTCCGAAAATCAAGGAAAAAAGCCTCATGCCCAGCAAAGTCAACCTCAAATCTGTCCATGGCTTGTGACACCTTCTGCCGCAAGTCGAAAACACTTGTCAAGTGTCGGAAAAAGCCAAAATCCGTTTTGAAAAATGAAAGCGGCTAGAACACAGGGACTCGGGATAGACGATTCTGGGTAGCCGAGGGATGGGCCATGGGAGGATTAATGACGGCGCATGCCAGTGACAAGCCTCGAAACATGGAATCAAAGTCCAAGAGTGGGCGTATCCGTGTTCGGTGCATGAAAAATGTTCGAGGTGCGAAATCTGTTGTGAGGTCTAAACAACATAATTGCCAAATAAAAAAGTCGCCGCCGGCTCCAAGCGCCTGACCATTAATCAAAACTGGCTGAAAAATGAGCGGAACCATTTCGAGGAGCACTCGGACCATCTGCCTCCGGCACGAGTCTTCTGCTCCACTGAGAAATGGCATTGTCAACACTTTTTGGCCAATCGGAAGGCGGGGAGTCCCCGTCAGCGACATTTGTTCCGGCTATCGCTTATTGCGATGGCCATATCCAAGTCCCCAATTCCGAATCCGCCTCCTCCAACAACTTATGGCTGATGACCTCTGATTTCTGATTTCTGATTGCAGCGCTCGCAATTGGGCAACTTCCGAGGGCCAAAAAAAGGAAGGAGGACAAGAATAACAGCTGATACGTGTGTCTGGCCTTTAAAGATCCAATCGAGACCACAAAGGAGCTTTCCTCACATTAAAAGTTCACTAATCACGAGCCGGGAGTGGGAATTTTGGAAGGAAAACCTGTCACAGCATCTGTTGTGGATATTTGCATGTGCCGTACACAAGGCAGAATGGGCTTAGGTATTGGGTTCGGTTTTGGGAACTTCCAACTGCGGGTCCTTTTCTAACATACAATGTAGATGGAGTCCTTTCGTCCTCAAATACAGATAGCAACCTCTGCCAGAAGCCGGGTCTGTTAACTGGATGGCTGACTGTCTCTCAACCTAAGCCCCATTCTCATACGGCTCATGTGTTTAGGACCAAATTTACCGCCAAGCATTTGCCAACAATGTGCGATTGTTCAAAGGACAAAAAGGATGTGGAGCAGGGAAAAGGGAAATGGCATGACACGCGGCCGCTGGCAGGGATCATGGGGGTCATTGTAATCATAACGGAGGCTCTCCTCTCAAAAGAAGACTTCCTGAACCAGACGAACAAGTGCACTGAAAAGGCGCCAAATTAGTCATATTCCATAATGGGTGCCTGTTGTTAAATATATTCGAGATATAAGCAATTCTAAACAATTTCACTTAGACAACTCATTTCAACCCTGACCAGTAACAATTTTAATCCCAAGTTTCCCATCTCTTTTGGCAAGCCAACGAAAGCAATCGAGTGGACCGGCTTTTTCTGCAGACTTTTCACCAAAAAATCGCTCTGCTCGCTGAAACGCTGACTGCGCTGCTACTGCTCTGCTTTTCCTCTGCTTTTCCGCTGCCTTTTCGCTGCTTTTCCTCTGCTTTTGGATGATGGACAAATGGCATCGCCAAGTGAGCGACTAAGCAGCGACAGTTTTTATGATTTTTCGGTTTCAGCGGGTTTTCTTTTTGTTTGGCTTGCAATTATTTCCCCTGACGAGAAAAGTGGACTGTAATGTTACTATTGCCATCCCTTTCGGTAGTGTCTCTTCTGTTAACTCACCCTAATTTTCCACATTGCTACAATTTTCGCACTTAGTTTTTATTTGGAAAGGGAGGCGAAACAATTTGTTTGTCATATTTTCTTTGAAATTCGAGAACTTGTTTGTTGGTATTCTCAACATTTGCATACATTTCATGTGGCATGCACTTAGTTTCATGTATATGTTTCACTGTTTCTGGGTCTTTGGGTAATTTCATTTGCAGGAAGTGTTTCACCTTTTGTCTTTATTTGCATTTGCCTGTGTGACCCCTTGATATTATTCCTTCCACCCATTTTATTTGCCCGGCACTTCACACGCTGCCACTTTTCCATTTGCCATTTCCCATTTTCCACCCCCCTCGCACGTACGCACATTCAGTTTCCCACCCTTCCTCCTCTTTGCGGTCATTTAACTGATGTTTCTATCTGGTCCAGACTTCCTTTGTCTCCGTCTTGCTTTCTCCATCGACCCATCTCGCTTGCTCTTGGCCTGCGGCCTTTTCCGGCCGGCAAACGGCAAATGCTGAAATCGTGCGAAAAATTAAATAAATGACCAACTCGATTTGCCCATTCCCATTTCGATCGGGTTCGCCTTTATTTCCACCTTATTTATGGCTTTAATGTGCTATAATTCTGCATTGATTTCCATTTACCTTTTAAATTTATAGCCTAGGGCCTCTGAGCAGAGTTAGCTACTTACATTTTTTATACATTTACTTAGATAATAATCAAATTTCAGCTACGAATCGATTCGATTTTTTATGGGAAACATACTAAGAGTATTTAAACGATCAAAAAAATGTTTTCCAACTAAACGTCTGATTTTATAAGAAAGATTAAAGAAACTTTTTTTTTTAATTTTATCGTCTCACTTAAATAAAATTATTAGCCTAACTATAATTTATAAAATCATTATAAAGTTTTTTTAAAAATGGTAAATTCGGATATTAGCCAATTTATTTAGAAAAAGATCTTCGGTGATAGCTGATTTCAGTTTGTAATCGTTTTTAACGAACAAAGTTCTTCCCCTTAAATAATGAGTTGGATTATATTTAAGGAATCTCAAGAGAAACCAATTTACACCGTACCTTTAATTCGTTAAGCTGGACTTTTTCAAAAATTACACATCACTCTTTTTTAATCCCCTTTGCACTTTTGAAGCATCTCGTTTGCATTCGGCAGAAAATTGGCCAACAGCCTTGCAGCTTGTTGTACGAAATTGCCTTTCATAGCGTCAATTCCATCAGCAATTTCCGCGCCAATTAAAAAATTGTTGCAACTGGCCGGTTTTCCTTCTGGCCCTTGGCATTATTCGCCACTTTTCCATGCCGGGCACGCACTGAAGAGGGAAAAGTGTTGGGAAAAATGTGGAGGGGTAGCTGGAAAATGCGTGGGAGGGTAGCTGCACTGGGGGAAGGAGGACTTTTTCGGGTGTGGAATCGCGAATGAGCTTCATCTGACTCGTTTTTTTTCTTTTTGTTGTCCATCATAAATAAATACTGTTAATTTTTCAATTGTTCGCTTAACGGCCTCCACCCTCTCGCTTTTCCCCCTCTCCAGTTACCCCCTCTCATCAACAAAACGAGGCACGTGCAATGCCATTCACATAATAGAGGCTCCCCTCGGAAAATTGTTGGGTTTAAGGCAACTGGGGGAATCCGATTCACCATATGCCAGAGTCAAAATATGTGCTGCCCGGAAGTTTTGGGCTACGTGGTGACGGATACTCACAGACTAGACAATCAGTACACTAAAATAAGTATTTCAATAAAGAGATTAATAGTTGTGACAAATTAAATCCTTACAAAACTCATGACTTGTTGGCAACAAAACAGATAAGCTCTATCCTAAATTTGATAAATAAATAGAAATGCATTTAACTTTTTTGTTTTCAATTATAAATATAAATCAATATTTGTATTTAAATGAAATATCTTAATACTTCCACAAATTAAACCATTTATAGCTTTTATTTTATTTACAAAAATAGATAGAAAAGTGATCTAACCCCAAAAAAACGCTGATTATAAAATCTTAGGAATCAAAAGGTACTTCTTTATATGCTAAAATATATTTTGATTTAAGAAGTATTTTAGTGCCGAATTAATACACCTTTTTCTGCTGTGTATGAGCAATAAAGTTGACAGTTTTCCGTCAGACGGGAACGTGACGGCTTGAAGGAGGAATGGAGTTGAAGGCCAGGGATCGAGGACTGAGCACGAAGGAATAAGAAGTCCTGGAGGACACGTGGTGTTGTTTGGACGATGGGTAAATCGACGTCGACAAAGTTGGAACCGGCGTCGCCACCGGATATCAAACAGTTTTGGCTGTTTGCTGGAATGCCCTGTCCTAATATGCAATATAAAATATCCAAATATCCCACACACATGCCAGGAACAGCTGTCACTCTGGGAGGTTCGACTCCTTTCTCGCGCTTATCGCTCCGGAACGGAACTTGATGAGCAAAAGCCATTTTAATTTCAAACGCTCCCGCCTTGACTTTATATAAATCTGTCAGCCATGACAAGGCACATCTGTCCTGTCCCGAATCAACTCCTCCCGCCGACTGGAATGCCTAATCGAAGTAAATTGAATCACATAAACGCGACAATCTCAAAAACAGTGACAGGAGCAGCGACCTTATCGAAGTGCCTGTGCGAACGGGAAGTGAAAGCTGTTCGAATGAAAGGGAATGGGCCGGAAATCTGCC